CCCAGGCCGGGACTGGGCCTGAAAAGTAAGGGGCCATGTCAGGCCTGCACAGTGTCGGGTCGAGGCGACCTGACCGAGTCCATCCCTAGGCTGAACTTGTGAGGTCAAAATAAAATGTTTAGGAGAGGATGCGAGGCTGAGCTTTACTGAACTTTACCAATTGTGTATATCATCTTCTAAATATATATGTGTAATAAAATAGAAAGTGGTATTTTACTTTACTTATATTGTATTATCATTATTCAATATATATATATATATATATATATATATACTCGTATATATATAAGAGGAACTTTTTAAGAGCATATAGCGCGCCACATAAGTCTGTCATGTCATCATATATAACAATTACTCCGTATATTTTATACCTTTTATTTTATTATTACCTTCTGTTTTTATTACATGTTGATATAGAAATCAACTTTATTTGGTAACTTTGGCAACATCAAAATCACGTAATATGTAGGCTATAATTTAAATTTAGAAACATCAAACCTACGTAAAGAATTTACATATTGATGACTATAGCTATATTAGGTAAGGGAATCCAAGTTTAATGGATCGTAGGCTATATTTTATAATCGTAGTTTCAGCTATATAGCTATATAGCTATATGAATAATAGATATAGCTATATTACCTATATACTATGTATATTACAGTATTTTATGAATAAGCTTACGTAGCTATATTCAAAATACAGTATTTTAATTATATAGCAAGAAGGGTAAAGTATATCCAGTTTCTTAATGGTAAAATATATCAATAATGTCATCACAGTAAGTTTATATGATACTTTACCATTAATAAGTTTATGATACATGATATTATGCATCATACCTGATTGATTAAAATTACATGAAATGCAGACATTATTTCACACCTCCACATATTCACTTATCTTAGATTTTGATAGCATTTGAGCTAAATGTATTATTCTTCAATAGAAATTTGGAAGGGGTATATAATAAAACATTTGTTTAAACTCAATTGTTTTGATTTCTACGGAACTCATCAACTATGAGAAACTAGATATATTTCTATCTACTTTTATTATATCAAAATTGAAAAACTAAATATACAGAAATAGATCAAAAAGTACTAATCATGGTTAATTTTCTTTGAAAGTACAAAATAACTATATAGTTTATGTGAGAATACAAATAGTGCAATGATAAGTTAATAAGATACAGATGTTTTCATTATGAATTCACACAATGAATCAGCAATAACCATAATTTACCATCAACAAAAACACAATGCCATTTGGAATGATGAACAAAGAATCCCACTCACGAGAAATGTGCTATGGTACGGTGCTCTAAATGGATGGGTCAAGCATTTAAAATTTGAATTGAGAATGGAAGATGAAATACGTTTGGAATCCCTAGACTCTTCAAATTTCTTTTTTATTAGAGAGTAGTTTAGAATTGTCCAATTGAGAAAAGAGTTGAAATTTTAAAAACTACACTTTTAGACATTTTCACTGTGACGGAATTATGAGTAAAATGTAACATGTCATGGTTAAAATTTAAAATTAATTATGCATACCATATCATTCAACTAGAACTTAATCAATTTCAGTAGAATTAGTCGATTCGATCAATTTTAGTGTTATCAAATGAGCTCTATATTAAATTGAGAGGAATTGTTTACTTTTTTTCTATTAAGTCATGTCTATATTAACACGAATGTCTGGGTTAAGATGTCTAATTAAGTGATATTTGCATTTGAGTCTGTTTATTTTGTATGCTAAATAAACAGTCTGAATAATGTAAAATAAACCATTTAGTATTATTCTTAATTTATAGTGTCAATGAAAAACTTCATTTAATAATATAAATCCATTCCACAATCAGATTGAAAAAGTTGACAGAAAAAACGTCTCAATAGACATCTTAATGAGAACCGCTATTCTCCAGCTTAATGATTAAATTAGTTTTTTGACTGAATGATTAAGTCATACTTCCAATTAGGTCATAAGTAAACATTACTTAATGACCGAATGATTAAGTCGTCAATTGTCATTAAGTCTATTAAGCCGCAATTAAACAACCCCTGCGTTTATTTTGCTTTTGCATCACATTATATATGATTCCAATTAAAATACGTTTAAAATTAGCTAAATTATTATTGCCCGTGCATCGCACGGGTTTGAAAACTAGTAAAGTATGAAGGAATATAATTTCTCTATTTATGAATTATGAATTTAATCTTACATAAAACTATAGGGTAGTATATATTTGTTGTTGACCGGGTTTACTGATTGTTGACCGGGCTGACCTGCCATCTGAGTTGGCCTGTGACCCGGTCATCTGTCCAGGTCACCTCCCAGTCCGATTTTTACAACATAGTAAAAATCATTTTGACCTCTTTAACTTTTTTGTTGGTGTTATTAATTGTGTGCGTGTGTATACTTAATACTCTAGGGACTAAATTGCAATATACATTACTTAGTTCTACAAAATTCGTATTCAATCTTCTAATGCCATATTGCCATGTGGAGTATGTACGACATCATACCGTTTTACATAGGCACCATAAACTTTTCCTAACTAATACTCCTCATGCTAAAAAATGTATAGGGCCTCTGCAAGTAGCGGGGACGGAGCCCCACTCTCTATCTGTCAGACTGTGAATATAGTCCAATTTAGATCCTCCCATCGTGTTGCGCGGTCGGTGTTGGAGGACCCTCAGGGATGGGGTGTCATCCTTTTAATTAATACTCTCCGTTCTTTATTATTAGTCTTCTATTTCACTTTGGGTTGTTTTTTATTTGTCCTTCTTTCCATTTAAGGAAAGCTTTTACAATCAATATACCATTATACCCCCACTTTTATTACCATTACCCCCTTCTCTTTCCTACTTTTATCATTTACCCACTACTCATTACACCTTTTACACTACCATAGGGTTGTATACCGAATCGAGTCGAATAATGAGATTTTGTATTTGTATTTGTTTGATTTTTTCGAATACAAATTCGAATTCAAATATGAAACGAACATTGATTTCAATTTGTATTTGTTTAACAATACGAACAGTTAACGAATCATATACGAATATCGAATCGATTTGAGCATAGGTTAAATATTAGTCAAATATCACTTTAAAATAATATTTTTATACTCCGTATTTTGATGTTGTAAATGCATGCTATGACATAATATGTGTATTTAGAATTTAAATTTAATGAATCAATGCATTTTTAGATGGTGCACAATATACTAAAGTGAATTAATTTTATGATGATTAATAAAAATAAGGAAAAATTGATAGTAATAATTCCAACTATTGGCGGTCCGCCCATAATATATAATCCCAAGTATCGATTATTTCAGAATAATCCCAACTTTAGGGACCTTCCGCCAATAATAGTCCCTATAAATAAATTCTTGTAGTTTTTAAAGTGGATGAGAAGAGATATAACAAGTAATCCTTATAAATAATCCTAACTTTTAATTTTTACGCTTAATTTATATTTAAAAATCACTTTTTGTAGGAGGTAATATCTGGTCATGGACCATTATTGGTAGACGGTCCATATAGTTGGGATTATTCAAAAATTATCAATAGTTGGGATTATTGTCGGCGGACCGGCAATAGTTGGGATTATTGCTTTCAATTTTTCCTAAATATAAATCTATTTCAAACTTTTTGGAATAAATAGTAACACACACATATATTAGAAATTATACTTATAATGTGTGAAATAAGTTGATAATTGTATATATCAAAGTCAACCAACTTTAATTTTATTCTTCAAAGTAAAATACATAATTATTTGTATTGTATTTGAAAGACATTTGAATCAAAAAATTGTTTAGTATTCTTATTTATATTCTGGGTTATTACAAATGGGCTTGGAATTTGTATGCAAAAATGTATATATGGGCCACACTTTGAGAGTATTGCTATTTTTTAAAAGTTAGTCCGTATTATAGTGTTATTACTATAATTATTAATTAATATTGATATTAATATTACCATTATTATTAATCGAATATATTTGATTAATATTCGAATCGAATACACTGATATTTTTATTTGTATCTGATAACAACTCGAATCAAATTTAATATTCTTATTTATATTTGTATTTGAATATTCTGTATTTGAATTATCATATACGAATTCGAATCACGAATCGAGCACAAATTATTTGATTCATTTACAACCCTACACTACCCCTATTAATTTCCTCTTAAAACACGTGTCAATGCCTAAGTAAGGTTGGACTCGGGCCGGGTGGCCCGAACCGGCACTGTTCCGGGCCGGCCCGGCCCGGTGGCCCGGTCAGTGACCGGTTCGGGTAGGCCCGACCCGCTGGGATTCCGGTCCGGGCTCGGGCCCCTCAAAACATAAACCGACCCGGTCTGGGCCATTTTTTTTTCTTTTTTTTTTTTGGATTTTTTTTAAGTTTTTGGGTTGGACTAGGTATTTTGGGTCATTTGAGATGGTTTGGGGGTGAGGGGGGTGGTTAGGGGTTAATTAGGAAAAGGCAAAAAAAATATTGAACCGAGGCCCGGCCCGGACCCGGGGGTTACCCGAGCCAGTTCCGGGCCTCCCCTTTCCTGAACCGAGGCCCGGCCAGGCCCAGGCCCGAACCGGGCCCGAACCGGGCCCGAACCGGCCCTATGTCTAAGAGGACTAATATTAAAGAACGGAAGGAGTATTAGGAATTAGAGTTTGTATCTACTAATCAGGCCGAATATGTGGGCCGCAATAAACCAGGGCGGTCCATATTTTACATTCAAAAGTTAATGATATGCTGAATTAATTACACTTAAAAAAGGAGTGAAAAATAAATATTGATAAATCTGTTATAAAAATAATACTACGTAATAATGTAATACTACAATAATCTTAAAATCCAGGAACCATAGGAATACGACAATATACGACAATAGTTGATAGATAAGTTTATTTTTGTAAAGTAGTTGATAGATAATTTTTTAAATATGAAAGATTTTTTTTAGATAAAAATATGAAAGATTAATAACTTCAAATGTTTGTCTTTATTATACCGAGTATAATATAAAAACAGGACCGTTTGGGAAACATTTTCCCGCCTGTACAACATGAAATGCCGGATAATTTTGGGAAAACGGCAGTTACAACTTCAGGAAAAAAAAGACAGTTGCAACATGAGCATTGGAGAGTAAGGCTGCAGAAATCGCTTGATAATTTCCCCTTTCACGTCCGCCTTAAATTCGCCCGCCTCATCTGCAACTCTGTAAGTAAGTGAACAAACTTTGTAAGTTTTTACGCTTTATTAATTCTGCACTACATTGCTAAATATTTCCATGTATATTATAGTTAACTCTTATGATTACTTATTTATTCAATATTTTCTCTTGAAATTTTGCCTTCAAGGTGATGTTGTTCAACACTAAATTCCTAAACGCGGCGTAACAAAAAGAATCCATGTATCTTTTCTGTTCAACATAGAGGATAAAACGAGTAAAAACCGGTTCATATATTAGGGATTATGGATTATAAAAAATGATTAAAATCGTCACTTAGGGTAAACACAAAAAACTGTGTTACATAATTTATAAAACAGAGATAGGTTATTACATTGATAACAACTAAAACTTTTGTTGTTCCTTGGTTTTACACAAAATGATTTAATGTCAAATTTTCAGTCACCAATATACCCAATATGATTAAACATCTGAAACATGTATAATATAATATGCTACAAAGAGTGCATATGAGTATAATATGTGCTCTTAATATAATAATTACTCCTGTAGCAGCCTTAATCAAAATAAGAGTACAATATACTCGAGGTTATATAATACTATCTAATAGATATTAATTATCATAATATTATATTTACTTATATTCTAATTAGATTATTAAAAAATAATGTCTACTTATTTATTATATGATACCTTAAACACTTTTTACATTTTGAGAAAATATCTTAAAAATCACAACGCTTTTAATGTATAGAAACCATCTAAAAAATATAAATTTTTATGATGAAATATTACGGTATTACCTCAGATCTAAACATGCTTAAATCACTCAAAAAATGTGGCCACAGCCCACGGGATTTGAACGAAAAAGAAAGATAATGGATAGTTGTTGCAGGAATTACTCTGTGTCATGGATGTTTAGAATGCCAACGTCGTCCATCAAACTTTTGAGGCATCTTCCATCTACGCATTAACAACTGAGAAAGAAATAACAGGTATGCTAAAAAATCGCAAATGAAACAAATAATATATCTTAATTTATTAAAGTTGGCAATGAGTGTTGAGAAACACATTCTTTGTAATAAAGAATTAAATGGGTGAAAATAATTTGTTCAAATCACTCAAAAATAATGAAGTGTGCATATAAAAACTATTATTAAGTACACTGTTGTAGTATATAAAAACAAAATAAATCACTCCCAAAAGGAGTTAAACAAAGACAAATTTGACAAATAGTCCAGTAAAACATAGAAAGTGTTAGCAAATAGGACTAACTATGTTTTATTCCCAAAATAGAACTTATTTAGTCCCTATAAACAATGAAACTAATAAAAGTCCCCCCTTTTAGGAGGATATCAATAATGTTTTAGGATAAAATAATGAAGATGCTCTTTGAGTAACTTTGTGATCTTTTATTCCTTTCCCATTTAAGGAATTTTTTCAAAACAAATATCCTACGAGTATATTGTAAACTTTCAATAAAGGTTCCTATTTAAACTGACAGTTTAAACAATGTCATATATGTTGTAATCGGGATATGCATCTTGCTGGTATATGTTAAGAGTTTATTGGTTTACATTGGCAGATTAAGTGATACCAAATAGAATCTAATTTAATTAGTGTATACATATGTCATAGGAGTTGCAGAATTGGTCATAATCACATCAGAAAGATTTCAAGTGCATAAAACTAAATGGTTCTTAACACATAGTTATTCATAATAAAGACACTGGAGGATTTCAACGAAAAAAATTCAAGATCAAATTTATTTAAGAACTTACTATGCGTCATCAGCCATCACGAATCTGGCAGACTAAGTTTCTGGGTTAAGCCATGATGAAACAACCTTAAATCAACTTGAAGATAAAAAAACAGTGCAAAATGAGACTTCCACACAAACAACAAACCCAAATTGAAAGTTGAAACCCTATAATCAAACAAGTTTAGCAGCACAATGCATAATGAAACAACAAACCAAAGCGAAAGTTGAAACCCTATATGGTTAGAACAAATAACCAAGAAATTGGCGACTCAAAGTGTGAGCTAACATCTTTGTATGAGCAGTAAAATGTTAGACACTAGAATGCACTTAAAACACCCCATTTGAACAATCCAAATTATAGTTTTTGAATCCCATCTTTGAATAGCAACTAAGCTATGAGCGTAAGTAAAGAAAGTAAGGTTTGAGGGAGCCGACCAGATCTACTTGTGAGTGAGAGTATGATAACCGTTTGTATTTTTGGACTTTAAAGGGGCGGGTTAAGTAAATCATGAACTTGGGGCTACAAGTATAGCAGGCCTAGGGAGTCTATTAGTAATGCGAAAATGATTAGTTCCTCATCTCTTAGTTCCTCATCTCTTAATCTATCCTTAATCATATAAATACGAGTACCATAAAAGAGATTTTTGCAATAGATTTTTAGATGCAATTTAAACTACACATTACACATCTAAGAGCATCTCCAATGGGGTAGTGGCACAGGAGAGATAGAGATAGAATGATTATTTTAATTTAATATGGAGAAAGTCATGTGTATGAAAAATGAAAAGAAAGAGAGATAGGAGTAAATGGTAGACAATGTCTATGTTCACAAATAGACTTTACACGGGAATCGAGGAACAAAAGTGGATCAAAAATGGATTAAAAGTGATATAGAAAAATGAAAAACAAAATAAATGTGAAGATATGTAGGTTCTACACATAAAATTGGTGAGATAAAAAAATAGGACCCATATGTAAGAATGTGTAAGAGAGATGCTCTAAGAAGAAAAGAGTGTAAGATAGAAAGTTACCTGCAAAGAGGGAGATTCCAGCGCCAGTAAGAGCAAGAGAGGGAATAATACCACCGGTGAGATGCGGCTGAAAACAGGAGAGGGAGAGAGATGTGGCTCATCGCAAATTAGCACTAGTGTAGACATGTCCTCGGCCATCCGTGCGATGTATGAGCTACAAAACTACAATGATAGAATCAATAAGGAATGAGTTCATAAGAACTTATGAAGAAAAACATAAAGTAAAACTAAAATCTGGCAATGAATTTATACATCGGATTGTAAAGCTGCCTGAGATGATCGGCGAAAACGATGGGTTTTAGCTGGTTCCATAGAAAACTCCAACACCTCATCTTTGTTGATGGGAAGAGGGTAAATAGTAAATACAGGGTAGGAATGGTGCTTTCGGATGGAGAGAAGCGGCTTGGAATGTCTACTGGGCTTATTTCTAAGCAAAAATTGACAAGAATAATGATGCAAAAGTGAGATTATTCTGGGATTACCTAAAGGTGGGATTATTATGAGAAGACCGGCGAAAGATGGGATTTTTTTTGTCAATTTTTCCTATTTCTAATGGGCTATACAAATATGGGGCAGACTAGAACTTTTTGTAATCAGACTGGGCCCAGCTTATTGTGGGTTGATTTGTTAACAGGCCTAAATGAACGGATTGTCCAATGAGGGTGTAGCTACTTTTTGGGAAATAAATATTACTACCTACGTGTCTTAGTTTGACTTGGCACGGTTATTAATGAAGTGGTTGAAAAAGTAAAATTTGTGATTGAAAAATTAAAAGTTGTGGTTGAGATTTGAGTATAATAAAGTGAAATGGTGTAGACCACATATTTTTTTCCAAAAAAGGAAATGAGACACTTATTTTGGGAAAACCCAAAAAGGAAAATAGGACAGGTAAAATGGAACGGAGGGAGTACTAATATTGAGTAATTGAAACACAATAATTATCATGAGCCCCGGCCGGTCCCAGAGTAAAAAAAATATGTTTGACTAGTAGTGTAAAATTTGGTCCAACAATTTATAGAAAAATAACCTTTCTACTACCATTGTCCGGTATATACATTTAACCATTTGAATGGATAGTAGATTTCATAAGCTATCAAGCGTGAATGATTGAAAATACTACCAAGTAACAAAGGTTGTACGGGTTTCAATAGTTTGAAGATAAATATTGTAAATCCAGAAGTTTTTCAAAACATTTAGATTCTTTTGTATTTGAATCTAAAATGTGAATATTGGCTTAGATTGACAGATAAGGCGGCTAGATTTCATATAAGAAATAATGACGGGAATAATAGTATGGGCTTTTGACTTGACAAAAATGGGACTTGTTCTTGAATTGGACAACAAAGTGATTAAATATTAGGTACTAGACTAGTATGCCCTTCATCTCCCGTAGCCCTCCCATCCTGTCTGCTCACAATCCGCACCAAACACCTTCTGGTGGCAATTCTGGAAGTCGCACCAAACTCTCCCGACGGCGCTCGTCTCTCCATAAGGCTGGCGACTCATCCATCCGACATCTGGTACAAGCGGCTCCACTCCTTTCAACTCCTCCGTCGCGACTGCGGTCGCCCATCCATGTCCGTCGGTCTTCTCCTCCTCTAGGATGGCTATGGAAGACGCCGGCGGTCAACAGAAGATGACGATATGATGGGAGACTACAACTGCTGGTTGCAACGATTTCTCTAGCCGATGTTCTTCTTCATCACCATTGCTGAATCTAGATCTAGATCGGTTATTCTTCTGGCTATTTTTCTCCATTTTCGATTAATTTTGTAACGATAGCGAGTATCATCTTAGGCAAAGGATTTGGACATGCTGTCGAAAGGGGTTGGGAGAGGAGAGGGACGAGCCTAGGTTGGGTTGGGGGCAGAGCATTAGATTGAGAGGCTGGGGGATGGGGCGTGGTAGTGCCGGAGGGGCAGGGGTTGGGGTCAGTCCCGGTGAAGCACGGGAGGGGGCTAAGGCGATCCAGGGAGACGGCTGGGTGGCGCAGGGAAGGGGGCTGTGGTGTGGTGTTGAGGGTTGTGGTCACCGGCGGTGGTCGTCGACGGTGGTCGCTGGTGGTGGTCGCTGGTGGTGGTCGAAGGTGGTGGTCGGAGGTAATCTTTGTCTAACGGCAAATGGTCGCACATGGTAACTTTAATTGGTCAAATTAGATAAAACAGGTAACTTTAATTGGCGTATTGATTAACTGTAACTCATAAGTCAGATAACTGTAACCGGAAGGCGTGTAAATGTAACTGGCTGAATCGGGTAGTTATAATTGGTCCGGTCGGGTAGTTGTAACTGACGATTTGAGTAATTGTAACCGGTTTGGTCAAGTAACTGTAACTAGTTGGATCAGGTAACTATAACTGGTCAGATCGGGATAACTGTAACTGGTCGGATTTGGTAACTGTAACTGGACGACGGATTTGGTAACTGTAACTAGATGACAGATTTGGTAACTGTAACTGGATTTTTGGTCACTAATGATTTTGGTCACTGACGAATTTTTGGATTTTTTGTCACAAATGATTTTTGGTCACTGGGTGGATTGGTCATGGTCACTAGTCAGATTGGTCACTGGACGGGTTGACGTTGGTAACTACGTAAAAATTTTGGTCACTAATGATTTTGATCACTGACGGATTTTTGGAATTTTGGTCACAAATGATTTTTGGTCACTGGGTGGATTGGTCATGGTCACTAGTCGGATTGGTCACTGGACGGGTTGACGTTAGTAACTAGGTAGAATTTTTTGTCACTAATGATTTTGGTCACTGACGGATTTTTGGATTTTTGGTCACAAATGATTTTTGGTCAGTGACGAATTTTGGTCACGATAATGGTTTTGGTCACTGTGGCGTTATTGTAGACTAATGGGTGAGATTCTATTAAAATAAGGGTATAATAGTCTCTTAACCCATTGTTAGTCTCATTTTTGGAAAATTGAAATAAAGGTCTCTTTTTTGTTCATAGCTCTTTTTTTAGTATTATTTTAGACATAACCCCTTACATTATTGTTGGGATTATAGAATAATTTACATATGCACACACTAAGGATTGAGTTTGTATAATGTAGTGTGTAGTGTTGGGCCGAAATGTATATCGATATATAATAATTAATAATAAAATAAGTGTCTATATTTATATTTTTAAAAATGTTTCTATATTTATTTAAAAGATTTGTTTTCAAAAACTGTGTAATGTGTTTTATCAGGCTAGGTTTATGTGAATAGTGGAATACGTAATCCCTAATCCACCTAGTTTTATTATTGTTCCATAGTGTAAAATTATCACGTGTTGTGTGAATCATGTTGAAATGTTGAATGATTGGAGATATAAATCCACTATTGTCAACATATATTTTTTCAAGTAAGTTTAATTTTCACAGATTTTCCCATGTGAATAGAAAAAAGTTAATGCCAAAATAACAATTAAAATTTCTGTTTTCTAGAAATAAATCGACATGTTGATCAAAATAACAACCTAATACTATATATTTAAAAAGCTATCCCGGTTTTATTGATTTTGTTTGCGATTTCATTGGTAACAACATATAGTGATTAACGTCTATATGTTTTTATTGTGTCATGTATGCTTTTCACTTTCCTTTAGATTTTATTGTGTTTAAAATATTTCCATTTTAAGGGTATTATAAATTACAAATGTTCCATGCAACGCACGGGTATTATACTATTGTCAACAGGAGAAATATTTAAAATCATCCCCTTACAATATCATATAGTGTTCAGCCAAATTTGTGAAAATAATTACTTCATAATAGACACGGTAAGCTATATATGTAAGATTAACGACTCTAAGTTGGAGAGTTTCATTCTTTTGTATATTTTGCATTATGTAGTGAAGTATATATATATATTTGAAGTAAATTTAACTTATATTGAGGTTTTAATTTCTTTGAAGTAATTGCATACTTTGATTACATAATGTTTTAATTTGTAAATTAGTCGAACTAAATTGTGAATTTATTTTTGTCCCATACTTAAGTCATTCATGAATAGAACTTACTGGGGTCTGAATTGCATGTGCGAAGAATGCTATAAGGCTGTTTTTTGTCAAATACTTTGTATGTCTTTTGAAATTACTCGGTCATAGTGAAATTATGGTTATTTTTCAAAGATAGTGAAAGTGTGGTTAGTTTTTACAATTCTAGGATATCATACATTTCATACGATTTAATATACATAAATATATATAAATTCAAATTAATCATAATTAAAGTCACAAAGTGATTTTTATGGTTTTAAAAGTAAACACTTACTATGAATATTTAAGAATTATATATTTATAAATCTATAATAAATTAAATTCGAATAATATATATTACAATGGAGTATATGAAATTAATTTTATGGGTTAACGTCATTAGAATTCCAAATAACTTTCAAGTTAACTGTGTGATGAAAGAAATATCAAATATATAAAAACAGTGTGCACCACATATAAATGTGTAGTATTTAAAATTATATATAATTACAAAATTTTGACTTAAACTAAATTTATTTATTATAATGTGATCTCATTAGTATAGTGCTTTTGGTAATAATTTTTTTACGTTTAATTTTACATTTATGTGACTAAAACAGTATACAATAGGACTTTAATGATATTTTTGTAAATGAATTTTATTTCAATAATCTTTTAATAAGAAATCTTATTTTTTTTCAAAACTAATTTCAAATTTTATAATTTAGACTAGGAGTAAAAAGTTAACTTGTTATTAATTATTAAAACTTGAATTTAAAACTCAAAACACTAAAGCCAACAATCATTAACTGTTTTCTACTTCCCGCGCAGACTCTTCTATCCATCTTCTAAAATAGGACCATTTCATTATTGTTGCATCTTTTCACTCTCGCATTGATTAGATCTGTCCCCATACCTCCAAGTTTCTCTGTCACATCGTGGGCCCAACAGGGATGGAAAATGGCAGACCCTTCAAACTTCGGACCTGTCCTTTTCCGTCATCCCCATCCTTTTGATCACCCTCCTCTTCCATTGAATCAAAGTGATGAAATTCCTGACACCTTTCCGGAAGTGCAATGGAGTCTGGAACCCGCTGACGCTCCAAATAATCCCACTCTCTCGCATCCAAGTTGTCCTTTTAACGATGTTCATCCATTTCCTGGTCAATCAAACGCCGCCTCTAATACCTTTGTGGACCCTCTGCTTCAAGAATTATTACTTCAGGAGTGCTTCCCCGATACCAGAGTTTCGAGAAGTTTCCCAGAGGTTAATGGTCATGGTGCTCCGGAGTACGCAGAGAACCCAACGACATCGACCACTGCTATATGGCCGACAATGGATTTATCGTCTCCGACGTCTATTTGCAATGCATGCATGGTCCTTCGTGAAATAAGTCATACAAATGGTGCGTG